GGGCCGACCTGCGCGCATGCGCCTCAGCGCCTCTCTCCACACTGCGCATGCCCCGGAGGCCGCGCGGCGCTTCCCCCCGCCCCGTCCCCCCTCAGGCGCGGCGTCCGGCCGCGCCCGTGTGCGGGGGGAGCCGCTCCGCACTACCGACATTCACCCCGCACCAACACGACACGCACTGCACGGAGGGAGAAGTCTGACTGAACAAGAGATGTGTGGGAACTAGCACTTACCAGCTTCAAATGCTGACGCTACCCCACGTGAAACAATCTGCTCGCTTCGGTCACTGAAGCCTGGTGTGTTTGTAGGAGATGGGGAAAGAAGAGACATGGGTCACAATTATCATAATAAAAAGGAAAATACTATTCCCTCCCATCTCCTCCAAACACACCAGACCTTGCTAGATTTCACCCTGCACCTCATAATAATGAGCGCAACAGGAAAAGAGTTACTAAGAATAACTGCTCTCATACTGCCTCAGATAGTTGTACTTGGGAAAGATTCAAATACCTAAAAAGTCTATACCCTGTCTTTACAGTTAAAAAAAAAAAATCAGGGCAAGCAGTTCATCTTTTAACTGGAAGCTGCCCACACAGGTGATGGAGAACCCATGCCAAGAGGTAAATCACACTCCATAAAGCCTCAAGCATGTTCAGACTAACACTGGAATTGCAGAGTTTAGAAGCAAAGCTGCACAAAACAGCTTCTAACACCTCACTCCTGTAATTCAGGCTTGTTTCCTATCTAGTCATTTACCAAAGTTAGCCTACAGCTCCAGAGACATTTCACCCAGTGCCTACAGGTCTACATAGCCTTATTTCACCCATGTGAGATATATAGTTTATCAGATACCAATCAAGACCACTATCTGCCTCCCACCAAAGCAGGAGGCTTTGGGGAAGGAAAAAAAAAAGAAAAAAAAAAGATGGAGTATAAAACTCAAGAAAGACCATGGGGAACTTATGAGAGTTAATGCAAATCAAACAGCTGAAGTGTTTTGCAGTAGCTCCGTTACAGCTGCTTGGCTCCTGACAAAACAGCCCCGCTCCACTTCCCTTGCTCGACACTGATCTCAAAAAATAAAATAAAATAATAAAAGCAGCAAAGGCAGCCCCCCTTCGCTGCGCCGACGGGGAGGACGGCGGAGCCCGCCGCC